CTTCCCGCCTCCTGCAGGGCAGCGGGGCGGGGGCTACCTGCCCTGGTTGGCCCGGCTGGCCACCCAGCCCCGCTGTCCCGCAGGGGCCACGGGTGCCCGCTGTGCTTTGGCCGCTGACACCCTGGTTGTTGGGATTTGGCCGAGTCCTGTGGTTTGCTGTGTGGTCCCTGCACCAGCACCAGGGGAGCCTCCCTTCGGCTGTCCCCGAGTGGCTGTCCCTGAGTGGTCCCTGGAGCGATGCTGCATGGTTTGGGATGTGCCCGTGCCGGGGCTGCAGGCTGTTTGGCCCTCGAGGGGAATCCCCGCCGTTTGCACCGGTTCCATGGGTCACTCTTTTCTCGGCCCTTTAGAGCCAGCAGCCGCAGGTGGCTTCCATTAAGAGACGCATCGGATGGGCAGGTCTTTATCTCCCGACATAGCTTGGTTTAAGCAGAAAAAAACCTGCCCAAAATCCAACTTAGAAAAAAAAACCCACCTCACCCCACTCCCCCAAAAAAGCAAAGTCCCTGTTCTTGCTCTGTGTGGAACAGCTGGTGTTAACCTGTCTTCTATCTTGTTGTACTAACCTTAGTTCAGATATCTCTGGCTGCAACAGCTCTCCTCTTTTCAACACATGCATGAGCGAGCGCATGGCTGATCTCACCCCCTCCCCTACCTTCTCGAACCCCGACTCCGACATCACCGAGCCTGCTGACGAGCAGCACCAGGGGCAGGAGGAGGAGGAGGAGGAGGAGGAGGCGGAGGACCTGGAGGAAGACATCTTTCCGGAGTGCCCGCTGTGTGATGGCCGGGATCCGTTTTACGACCGCTCCCCCCTGTTCAGTTTAGTAGGAAGGTTGGTGAGGTCCCCTTCCCCAGGGCCACCACAAAACGTACTGCAGGACAGAGCACCCGAAAGCCCCTGGCACCCATTCCCGCAGCACCCGGCTGTTGCAAAGCCCCCTTCTCGCCTCCTGCAGGGCAGCAGGGCGGGGGCTACCTGCCCTGGTTGGCACGGCCCACGGGTGCCCGCTGTGCTTTGGCCGCTGACACCCTGGTTGTTGGGATTTGGCCGAGTCCTGTGGTTTGCTGTGTGGTCCCTGCACCAGCACCAGGGGAGCCTCCCTTCGGCTGTCCCCGAGTGGCTGTCCCTGAGTGGTCCCTGGAGCGATGCTGCATGGTTTGGGATGTGCCCGTGCCGGGGCTGCAGGCTGTTTGTGCCTCTTGGGGATGGGTGAGGCCGGCCGCATCCCAGCACCTTCACTGTTCCACCTTGGGCCTGGGAGAAGGCACACGGGTGGTCAGCAAGGTCCCTGGGATGGGGCCGGTCCCCTCCACGTGCTCCCTCCTGCCTTGCTGCCCCCTCCGTGCATCCCCCCCCGTGGTCCCTGCCTGCCGTCACATGCCTCACCCCAAATGTCAGTGTCAAGCTCGCCCTTTAAACTGTCTTTCTGACCTGGTGCAGTGCCTGCGACAAAGCTGAGCACCATGACTCGGCCCAGCGCCGGCCCATGCCAGTGCAAGTATGATCTGATGGTCTTCTTCGAGATCTGTGAGCTGGAGGCCAACGGCGAGTAAGTCCTGCCCGAAAGGGGAGCAGGGAGGAGGGGGAGGCAGTGGAGTGACTTGCCTTGTGCTTGGCACCTCTGGGCAGACTGACGGTGCTGTGTCACGCTGCCGTCCTCTCTTCCAGCTACATCCCGGCCGTTGTGGACCACCGCGGAGGCATGCCATGCCATGGGACCTTCCTCCTCCACCAGGTACTCCCTCCTCGAGTTACCGTCCTGGCTCTGGCTCCTGCCAGGAGCTGTTAACCACTATCTCTTCTCTCTGGCCTCAGGGCATCCAGAGGAGAATCACTGTCACCTTGGTGCACGAAACGGGCAGCCTCATCCGCTGGAAGGAAGTGCGGGAGCTGGTTGTGGGTAAGCAGAGGCAGCTCGGGTGGGCTGTGAGCAACCCCCAGCCCACCAAGCTCCTGAGCCTCCTCTTGGGCTGTTTCTCGCCCTCGTTCCCATGCAGGGCTTTATGCCTTGCCTCCCCTCCTGCCCTGCAATAGCAAAGTGGTGGCTGCCCCAGCAGGTGGCACTGGGATGCCACATTGGCAGGACGCCTTGGTCCTAGCCACCATGTCCAGGAGCTGGGCCAGACCTCTGGCATGTGATGGGGGCTCTGCTGGGGGATGCAGGCGGGCGGGCTGCCCCTGCCCCTGCCTGTGCTCCTGTTCCTGCCCCTGCCCCTGCCAGGGACCCTCACAGGGCCACTGCCTGCCACCTGAGCGCCGTCCCCATACTGCACTTGCAGGTCGGATCCGGAACACCCCAGAGGCAGATGAGTCTCTCATCGACCCCAATATCCTGTCCCTGAACATCCTCTCCTCCGGGTACATTCACCCCTCCCAGGATGACCGGTGCGTGCCGCTTCTTCTCTTGCTCTGCCCCCGCTGTGGTGCGAGCTGGGGTGGGAGGGGGGAACTCCAATCTCCCCTGGGGGGCTCTCAGCCCCTCCACGAGGTTCTGCTGGCCTGTTGCTGTCTTGGGGTGGGGCTTATCTGGAGTTGCAGAGTATCTCGGGGTCAGGGCCGCCAGCCCCCTTCTTCCTTCTCCCTGAGGCCTCTCTGTGCCGGGCTTTGGCACTGCAGGGAATTCAGGTGGTGCTCCCGCTCCTGGGTGGCGTCTGGGACCTCCTGGCCTGGGGAGCAGTCGGTGCCAGTGCCGGGGGGATGCACGGACCCCGCAGCTGGAGGGGCCCTGCCACTAAGGGCTACTTGTCCCGTGTCCCAGCAAACTCTCTGGAAAGGCCGCTTGGTGCCTGTGGTCGGTCCCTGTCTGCGTGAGGGTGATGCGGGAAGGCCGTCCCCCTCACTGACGGGTGACTTTGAGGGTGCCTGCCCCTTCATGCCTGTCCCAGGGGTCTGTGTCCTGCCTGTGGGGCTGGCAGGGGTGCAGGAGCCACAGGGCCAGAGGTTTTATCTCTCCACGATCTTCCTGTCTGGGTCCTGCAGTGGCGGGGGGAGCAGTGGGCCGCTGGCGAAACTTGGGAGACTGGTGAGGGTTCCTTGGCCGGAACGTGTGTGTGCAGGCAGCTGCAACGAGACACGGACGGGTCGCCGGCAGCACCGGGGGCAGTGGGACTGGTCCTGCGCTGTGCACGTGGCAGTTGCTGGTGTAGGAGCATCCTGGTGGGGAGCGGGGACAACTTCTCCCGTTGTTTTCTTTGGGGTCACCACTGCTCCAGGGTGGCCTGTCCCATGGCAGGGTGTTTCCAGGGGGGATGACAGGGAATGACACCCTGCAGTGCTCCCAGGGCAGTGCCTGGGCACAGTGGAGCGGCAGGCAGGCAGTGCCCAGGCAACAGAGCTGAATCACGGAGTCAGGTATGCGTGTGAGTGTTGGGCCAGGAGACTGGCACAGCCACGAGGACAACATAGCAAGGCCAGGCAGGAACGGCTGGGCGCGGAGGGCTCAGCCCAGCAGAGCTGCAGTGGCTTCTGCTGGGCTGCGGGGAGCTGGGTGGCTGCGGCACCCACGGGCTCCTGGGGCTGCGGTGGTTTGTGTCAGCTCCTGCTGTGTCCAGTCGGTCCTGGGTGCAGCCAGATAGGATCTTGAGTGCCACTAGTGCAGCTTGGCAGGGGGCATGTGCCTCCTGCTCCTGCCTTCCCCCCACAGGTCCTGCAGGGCAAGGGACACAGCTTGGGCTGGGGGCATGTTCGGGCCGTGGGGAGAAGCAGGGAGACAGAGGGCTCAGGTTGTGCAGGAGCCTGCCTCACCTGCACGCTCGGAGGCTCTGCGCCTCAGGGCCAGCGCCGAAGCGTGGCCGGGGGCCGGTGTGCACGCCGTGTCTGTCCCGTATCCAGCCCCTTGAGCTTGCCCAGGGCTGGGCAGGGGGAGGAGGGGGCGGCCGGCTTCCCGCCCCCCCCAGCCTCCCCAGGCCCCAGGAGCCACTCAGGAGGAGAGCGGGGCAGTGGTACAGCTCCCTCCCTGGCAGGCGTCCATCCCTGCATCCAGTGCCCAGGGAGGAGGCACGGGGGGGCAGTGCCCGGGGCCCCCCCTCGCTCCCCTCTGCTGGTGCCGCCCACCCGAGCCCACACTAACCATGTGATTGTTTTGTGTTTTCGCAGGCAGTTTCTTGATTCGGATATGCCTAGGTATTATTTGTTTCCATTGGTTTTTTTTCCACCCCCCCTTCCTCTCTCCCTTCTTTCTTTCTCCCCCCTCGCCTCGGCGCGCTCACTCCCACCGGAGGCAGCACTTGGACATCCAGCCCCCACCTCTCCACAGGCCCCATCCCTGCTCCCTCCCGCCCCAGCACCTCGCGCTCACTCGGCCCCTTTTGCTGTTTGTCCCGGCCGCGCTCTTGCTGGCTGCCTCTCCCCCTCGCACGCCTGCGTCCCCGTCGCCTGAGTTGGGTTTATCTTCTCGCTTTTTCACTTCGCTGC